TGGACTGGCTTGTGACCATGTTTGTGGGGTATCTTCTTGATTACTGAGAGATGTGGGATGGCCCAGCCCACTGTGGGTGGTGCCACTCCTGGGCAGGCAGGCCTATGTTGTATAAGAAAGCAGGCTGAACATGGGCCAGGGGAGCAAGCCAGTAAGCAATGTTCCTCCAAGGCCTGTGGCTCCAGCTCCTGCCTCCACGTTCCTGCCCTGAGTTCCTACCTTGAGTTCCCTGATGAACTGTGACCCGGGAGCTGATAAGCCAAATAAACCATTTTTTCTCCAAGTTGGTATTGTTCAGAGTGTTTTGTCACAGCAATGCAGAAACAAACTAGAACCGTTGCCCAGGGGCTGGTTTGTTTGACCTTTAGTAGTCTTTAGACATGACCTAAGTGATGCTAGATGAACACCAGGAATGCTGAAAAAAGAATGTTGATGGGATGGATCTGGGAAAACCAGAAATTTCGAGGTGAGTATAAAATTCATGTTGAGGCTCTTAGGCTATGGGGACAGTGCAGACAATCACCACAAGTCCCCAAGGACCCCCCCCCCCCAAAACCAACCAACCTCGGTGGAGTAAAAAGATCTAAGCAAGGGGTAGCTTCTAAACATGCCACCATCCCCTACAAGTCAAGAGAAATAGGAACAAGTCAAGAGGAGGGATTGGAACACAGGTCTGGTGGTTCACATCTATCTTCTTGGCTTCTGTGGCAAGGCTGGTGAGATAGGAGAATCACAAGCACAAAGCCTTCTCTCTGATCAGTGGATTCAAGTCCAGTCTGAATAACTTAGTGAGACTCTGTCTCAAAGAGAAAAGTAAGGGACTGGAGAGGTGGCTAAGGGGATGAGAGCACTTGCTGTTCTTCCAGAGGACCCCGATTCAGTTCCTGTCACCCACATGATGATGCTGTCATCCTCTTCTGGCCTTTGTGGACAACACACACACACACACACACACACACACACACACACACCAATAAACATACCAACAATCAAAACACTTGTACAAATAAAAATAAATAAATCAAAGTGAAAAGTAAAATGAAGGCTGGGATGTACTTTAGAGATAGAGCACCTGCCTAGAATCCCCCAGTGAGGGGCTGGGGGTGTGGCTCAGTGGTAGAGCACCTGCCTAGAATCCCCCAGTGAGGGGCTGGGGGGGTGTGGCTCAGTGGTAGAGCACCTGCCTAGAATCCCCCAGTGAGGGGCTGGGGGTGTGGCTCAGTGGTAGAGCACCTGCCTAGAATCCCCCAGTGAGGGGCTGAGGGCATGACTCAATGATAGAGAACTTGCCTAGCATGCTCGAGGCCCTGGGTTCCATCTCTAGTTCTGGAAAAGATGAGAAAGTTGGTAACTTGGAGATAGAACAGAAAGAATAGAGATCTCTTACAAGAAACCAACAGAAAATTTCCAAAGAACCCCAGATACGCCCTGCCCTCTACCAGGGCCTGCTCTTGGGAAGGCCTGTCTCACTTGCTTTGTTTTCTTACTGACCTGAAGGGGTTGTATAGTGAAATCTTGGACAGACCATCAGTGGTAGTCAGGCCCTGACTGGGAGGAGAGGGTACTTCATCCCTGGACTTGGTTGTTCTTAATACAGTCTTGGAATTCTCAAGCTAAGTCTCGGTTAAGACCAAGGAAATTTAAACCCCTTATTTAAATGAAGGTCTACAAAGAAAATGGGTCAATGGGCCTTTCTGAAAGGTGGTCCCAGTGAGGCCAAAGGGTTGCTCTGGAATTTGCAGGTTTCCCAGGGTGAATAGAATTGAGACTGTGTTGAGATCATGGGAACAGAAAGCTCTGTCCTTTTCCACTGACCCAATTTGAGAAGTAAAAATTGATCAGCAGACCAGCTGGGCATGCAGACGCAGACCGCAGCATTTGCATGTACTGTTAAAAGTGTTATTCACAGCTTCTGGAAGAAGAGCCAGGCACGTCTCTGCAGCCAAAGCAGCCTGTTTGCAATGAAGAGACCTCCGCCACCCATACCTGCATGTGAGGCCAGAGAAAGACACTGGACACTACCCTTGGGTCAGGGTAGAGCTGGGTGGGAGTGTGCATCAGGGGGGAGGCTGAGACATCTGTCAGCTCTGCTCTCTGCTGTCCAGAACTGTGCAAGGACCTGGTAAGTGACAACAGGATGAGAATTTCAGAGACTCTTAGTCGTATGCATTTTCTGAACTCACTCCTCCTCTTACCAATAGACTAGAAAGAGAAAATGCAAATTGCTAGGGATTTTTTTTAATCTAAGGCATAATTTACATGCCATCAGTTCATAGCCTTTAAGTATATAGTTTGATGAGTACACGGCAGAGAGAGAGAGAGAGAGAGAGAGAGGAAAACCACCAACCCAATTGAGATTCAGGGCACTTCCAGGTCCCAGAGATTTTCAGTATGCCCCTTTGCCCTCCATAGGCCACAGAAAACGGAGATTTTTGACTCCCCTCACTACAGCACTGCAACCCTGCACGCATACAACATGCAGCATATCCTTCCTTGAAATGGTTTCAGACTGCTCAAGCTACTGTTTGAGATTCATTCACAGCACTATGTATATTAGTGATGTATTATATTTTACTGCTGAGTAATCGACCATTATATGGTTACTCCGTTATTGCTTGTTTATCCATTCATGTCTTGATGGGCACAGCCAAAGAAAGTTTAACAGAATCGAGGAAGGAAAAGAAAAGCAATCGTTTAAGTCAGAATGAACAAATTCATCCATGGATGTTGGTTGACTTCCAGCTGTGAGCCAGACATGGTGGGAACATGAGAGAAACCAGAGAGGACATGATCCATAGGCATATGGATTAGTGGGAAACACAGATTTTACACACCTGGCCAAGATCATTTTAGATCATGTTAAGCTCATGGAGACAATAAACCAGACATCACATTTTTTTGCGTAGAACCTTGGGTACAGTGTAACTGCTGTTTATTTTTATTTTGATGATTGTTTAATTGCAGAGACAAATTCTCCATACATAACACAAGCTGGCTTCGAACTCACAACACCTCAGTCTCCTGTGTGCAAGGATTATAGGGGTATGCAAAGATTATAGCTCTGTGCACTGATTATAGGTATGTTTCACTATGCACAGCTATACTCTCCTTACTCTCCTTTCAGATTAAAATTGCTGTAAATATCATGAATATGAAAAATAGCCTTTGTGGTTTTATTCCTTAAAAAATATTGAATAACCAGTGAGTCTGGATGAAGTCTGCAATACAGACCTTGTAAGAATCTTCCTTTTTTGCTCTTAAAACCATGCCTATTTCTTTTTTAAAAAAATACTACTTTTGTTTTATGTGTATGAGTGTATTGCCTGTATATGTGTAAGTGCACCCGTGTTGTATAATGTCCGTGGAGGTAAGAAGAGGGCGTCGGATCCTCTGGAACTGGAGTTATGGACGGTTGTTAGCTGTCATGTGGATGTTGGATGTTGAGCCTAGGTCCCCTGCAACAGTACTCTTAATCGCTGAGCCATCTCTCCAGCCCCTGTCTATTTCTTATTAATGTATCATCTCTTATCTCTTGCTTTTACTGATGTATTTGTGGTCCCACAAGAAACGTGCTGTGGAAGCTGACTTAGTTCCTTCTAAACCACCAGCATGCTCTCTGCATTCAAGAATCCCCATACATTGTCAAAGGAAGCAGTGCCCCCTTCTTCAACCATAGACATTCTCTCTTGAGTCCCCTACTTCTGCATTGTTAAGGAAGAAAGAGGAAGAAGGAGACATAGGGAGATACTTTAGCCTTCTATAATAAAGTAGTTCATGGCACAATTAAAATGATGTAGTAGAATGGTAACATGATAAGCTGAATTTAAATAACTGAAGCTGACTAAGGAGGACATCAGAATTAAATGCTTGGTGGAATTGACATAACAAATCCAAGATGGCCTCTCCATGTTCCAGCTGTGAGATGGAGCCGACCATTGATATTTTCCAGGCAAATTTGTTGATAGATAAAACATTTTTATAGACTTTCCATTATTCCTTGTAGCCATCAGCTTTTAATTTTCTCTTTCTAGTTAATATACTTGTGTATAATTTAAACAGAAAACTGCTCTGTTTCATCATAAAAGATTTGCCTGTTACTTGGGGTATATAAATCGAGCGGACAGTGTGACACCCTTGAACCTTGTTTTTCAAGGCATTTGTTGATAACAACAGAAAAGAAGATCACAGACGCCGCCAATAAGCGTGGACATCAATTATTTTTTAATTGTACAGGAGTACAGTACACTAATTAAAACTAGTATATCTTGCAATGCCAAAGGCAAAATTAATTATTAATTTTTATTAATATTCAGAAGTAGCACAAGGAATACATTAATAAAGATTTGCTGGTTGTGACTGAGATCTTGTTTAGCTTTATATTTTAGGGAAAAAGATTTGCTGGCTTGATCTGAAGAGCGAAGCTTACACAGAAGAGATGATCTTTATTGAAGTGGAGCATGCTCTCCTGAGTGTGCACTGACTGATGGAGGTGAGATGTGGGGGGGATGTTCCACGCAAACCCCCTACGCTTATCTCCGATGGTTTGATTTGACAACTCTACATGCACCTGTAAAATTGTTATTGTTACTTTAGATACTTTGGGTTATTAAATTGGATATTTTAGTTAAGCCATCTTGAGTTGACATTTAATAATTCATTTAGGAACTGTGCGTGGAATAGTATCCAGTGCACCGCATGTAGGATGCACAGAATTAGCTTTGCGCACCCTAAGGATCCGGACTGAACTTCCTCCTCTCCCCACTCTCCTTCCTTCTTCCCTCTGTCCTCCCTTCTCCCTTTCTAGCTCCCCTCCATCTGGCTTTTACACCCTCTCTCCCAATCTGAAGAATTGGGAGAGGTCTCTTGTCCTAAGTGACAAAGATAGAGGCACTTTCGTGTTTTAGGCTGAGATTTTTAATCCTACCTTAGCACAGCCTTCAAACTATGCCGCCTACGAGTGGACCATGAATTTTGTTTCTTTTTGTGCCAATTGACTGTCCCTAGTTTGCACAGCCTCTTATCCAGTAGGTGTCTTTCATATCCACTTCCTCCAGAAGGACATTTGCCTTTGTAAAGTCTGTTTATACCAGTAAAATCCTTCCAGGAAACCCAAAAGTTTGATGCCACCATGGCGGAAAGGCTGCCCATAGAAGGGTGGCTGTTCCACCTCAAGCTCGAACATTCCATCACACATGGCCATCCACCCAGTGGGTTGAACCATCAGACCCACATCTTCCTTTGCTTACCACGTGGGGAATGCTCTGCCTCACGCAGCTCGATCCTGTGTGTTCGCGAATCATCAAGGGTGAAGAGGAGAGGAACAGAGCATTCACAGCTACAAGGAAGCTGCACGCGTTTGTAGGCAAAACTGTATGGCACAGCATATGCGCAGTTCATGCCTTCCCTTCACACCTCGGAATACAACAGGACTCCCCGTCAAGCACAAGCTGTCACCGTTCCGTTGGGAAGGCAGCTCTCTGAAGATTACTCCTTCCACCTGGTGGTCCACCTTCAAGAATGCTGCTTGTGAGAATTAGCATCAAGTCCGTCTGGGAAGGCATGTGTTTCTCAGATGTTTTGGAAATTTTCTTCTGGAAAAATAGGAGGAAAGGGCGGGTCTGCCTTGTCCCTGGCAACTTCTAGCTGGACTTTGGTGCCTCAGGGTAGAGGTGGCCATACACTCAGATCAGCATGGGATACAAATAAAAGCCTGGTAATGTTGGTACATCCATCCCATCAGAATCCAAAAGGCAGTGAAGAAAGCGCCTTCAGCAGACTGTACTTTGTGACATGATGAATCATCTGGCTTTAGGTGATGCCAAAGGGAGGTAGGTGACCCTCAGACCCGGATTCCTAAGCCATTAAGTGCATAATGACCCTTATCATGAGAAGGTATTCTCTTGCCTTTTTCATTCTTACACCTTGAAAATCACATGGGTGGATATCACCATCTCTGCTCTCTGTTATTGAGATATTATGATTTTGCTTAAAAACAAAGGTTATTTTATTCATTAATTCAAACCACACATATTTAAGGAACACCTAATCTATTCTGAGGAGATTACTAGGCCAGGGATTCAAACTCAACAAATAAGATGTATGTATTAGCTATTGTTGTGTGACAGACCGTTCCAAAACTCAAGGGCTTAAACACCATTTCCACGCTGGCTGGTACTGAGTTGATCTAAACTACGCTTGGTCAGGCAGCTCTGTTTCAAGCTGGGATTGTTAAGGAGGCTGCTCCATCTCCCCTTACCTATGTCATCCATTTAGATGCCAGAGAGCTGACAGGATCATGTTCTTCATTTGTGAAATCAGAGAGGCCTGTGTGTGCTTAGGACGGTCCCATCTCAACACCAGCACACCGGTACATCCGTTGACATGCCACTGAGTAAACTCAAACCCGCGGAGCCAATTTGTGAGCCAAGAGTCAGGAAATTATATGCCATCCATGATGAGACCACAGAATGTGGATGTGTGAAGACATGATGTAGGGTGATGATTAAATCTAACCTGGGAAAATGTCTTCTTGCCTTTGATGGACAAAGAAATGGTAGCTCAGTCCACTGGGAATCTATCACAAAGTTCTATAGCCGAACAGCTTATGAACAGCAGAAACTTATTTCTGTAGGCCGGGGGATTCAAAATCAAGTCTAAGAGTCTATGTTAAGACCATGCTTGGACCAAATTCGAGTCTGGAGAGGACTTGCTTTCTAATTCATTGAGAGTGACTTTACACTTCACCACTGCATGGTGGGAGGGTGAGTGGTCTCCTTAGGCCTCTCTTATGAGATCACAGTCCCATTCATAAAGGCTGAACCAGCATGTATGGACACCCCTAATAACTTGGGGGTTTGGATTTTAACATTTGAATTTTGAATTAGCACAGACATTGAGACTATGGCAAATAGTGAATCTGCCTTAAAAGCACTCAGAAACAGCCCACCCTATCTTTTCCTTCATTGCTTTTCTGCTGTGAAAAGAGATGACTTAACCCCTGAAGAGAATGGGAACAGTCTGAGGTTCGGAGGTGGCTAACCTAGGAGTGGCTTCCTGTTTCCTAGAGTATTCAGATTTTCTCATTGGGGCGGCAGGGTAATGGTGCTCTTTGCTCTAATCTCCATGGGCAGAGGCAACTCTCATAGCATATCAAGGGCCTGCCTCTGCCTCTGCCTTCGGGAACAGTGTGGAAGAGGCTAAAGGAGCCTGTGTTGACTCTAGACCTCCAAATAACCTTCTGCCTGGAATTCCAATCTCCCTTTGACTTTTGGGTTTACTTTTCATTTGTTTGAGGTCTCAGAGAAGGGCTCTGGCTAGAATCGCAGAACCTCACCCAAGCAACACACAGATTCTGCCTTTGAGAAGCTTCCGGAGTGACCTCGGGAGGATGTCTGGTTTTAAGCCTTGGTCTAAGCACAGAACATTCTTTCCTACTCTGGTTCACTGGGAACCTGCATCTCCCTCCTCTCCCTACGGTACTTTCTATTGATCTAGTGCAATAGATCACAGGCTCCACCTCTATGTGATGGACAAGTGACTCCCACCATACAGCTAGACCAGTGGAGATGCCCCAGTAGATACATCAGACAAGATTTGCTTCTTGTTTTTTAAATCTTCATCATTAAGGATCCTAGTAATACAAGCTTTTGCTTTTTTTTTTTTTTTTTTTTTTTTTTTTTTTACTTTTTTTTTTTTTTTTTTGTCTACTTTTAATGTCAATGTCCTATCTCCTCTGTGGTGGTGGATAAATTCCTTTCTTTTTCTAAGCCTCAGTCTTTTCATCTGTAAGATATAGGTGAAAACAGGGCACAACTCTTCAGAATGTTGTGAGAGCCCAGTGGATGGAAAGTACCTAATACTGTGTCTGCCACACAGGAAGGACATGGGAAAGACTGCTCATCATTTCGTTATCAATCAAGTATATTCACTCTTTGAGGTCTAGAGACTGGCAAACACTCAAGTTCATCCTCCCCTGTGCAGATGTGGGACCTGTTAATCATAGCCTTTCATCTTTGCTTACAGCCCTGTAACGCTGCTTCTTGAAGCAGATTTGGGGGAAGATTTGTTTTCATAAATCATGTTTATATGATACTGAGGCCTTGTTTACTGGATTAGGGACAAGCTAAGGACATTAGGATCCATGTCTACAGGGAAGGGAGGAAGAGAGAAAAGTTCTGGGGAGTTGTTTAGTACACACAAAGGTGGGAACTGACCCAAGAATCTGGCTTCAAAGTCAAAAGCAAGGCCATTGTACCATATGATGGACATGGGTATGGGAATGTCCCACATCCAAAAGCTATATAAGCGCCTTGCTTTGATTCCATCAAGTGCTTCTGGCAGGAGTAGTCTAGTACCCAGCCCTAAACACCAAGGAGGTCATGTTGGCAGTGGTTGAGTGGAGCCAGCAGAGCCCGAGAAGCGAGATGTTAGAAGTTAGTAGCTGTCTACAGGGCTTCGCTGTGCCTGCTCTGAGCTGCTCTCTCTCAGCAGGAGCCAGATAGTTCCTTCTTCGATGGAGGCGTGTTTTGTTCTGTGGAGCTTCTTATGAGTCAGACAGGCCCTGAAGCTTCAAGAACTTAGCTGTCTCCAGGCACTCTTGATTAGACAGAGCATGACATGGCATGAGGTTTTCTTCAGTCACTAGAAAGGCTCTGAGCCAGACTCTGACCAGTGGATGTTTACCTGAACCACACAACTGATTTTTTTAAACTGTCAAATAGATCCACTTAGGCTATGTAATCACATGCAGATACATTCCTAGTTTGTTTATGTGTTTGCTTGTTTCTTTCTTTAATTATTTGATTTTTTTGAGACAAGAGTCTCTGTATGCAGCCCAAGTGGACTTTGAACCTGAAATCCTCTGCCTCAGCCTCTTGAGTGATAGAATTATAAGCTTGACTTACCATTGGTGACTCCTGTTTGTTGGTTACGGTGATGGAATTTGAACCTAAGACCTTGTGCTTACCAGGCCAGCATGCTACCACTCTACCACTGAGCTACATCCCTAGCTCATTCTTTATTTTTTATTTTGAGACAGGGTGTCCTCAAGTTTCCCAGGCTGGTCTTGAACTCATTCTGTTGCCCAGGCAGGCCTTGAATTGGTGATCCTCCTGCCTCAGTCTTCCAGGTAGCGGAGATGATATGTATGTACCACTGTGTGCAGGTCCTAGTTTATTTTCCTTAAAAGTCTGTTGCCTCCTTTGTAAAACATCCATGAAATTTCCAGTTCATTCCATTCCCATACCATGTACACACCTCTGAGACATCACCAGCCTTGTAACTATGGATTAAGTCTTTGTGAGGGACTAGAAGTTAGGTCAGGGAAAGGGCTGCTGATAAGTAGCAGTAATAGCAAACTTCCTGCTGCTGCTTCACTTAAGACAAAAGCCAGGGGTCTCCTCCCACCAGCAGGGCCCTTCTTCTGGCTGACTGGTCCAAACCAGTTTAGAAAAGCACAAATCCTCCTCACTTCGAAGCATGGCCTATCGTCCCTCTATTCTTTGTTTACACTGACCAATCCAAAATTAGGGAAGAGGGACTTGTTCTGTATACTTAAAAGATCCAGACTTGCCACCTTGGGACTTTGGGTTTGGGTTTCTGAATCCTCTTTCCACTTTGTGGAGAGTCTTTCTCTGTGTGTGTGAGTGTGAGTGTGTATGTGTGTGTGTGTGTGTGTGTGTGTGTGTGTGTGTGAGTGTGTGTGTGTGTATTTAATAAAGTTTGTTGCCTTCTACTTAAGGTTCTTCTTGCCTTTTAATTCTTTGACTGGCAGAGAAAACAAATCCAGTAAAGACCCCTAAGTGGTAACATTTTGACTCCTGACTAGCAGCCCTGAGCACCTGGGGCAGGTGCTCATTCTCTTTCTGTATTCCCAGTGGCTGACTGGCCCAAGGGTGGCTTGTGGAAGCCATGGGGTTGAGCTAATGCAGCTCATTCTGCTCAGTGAATTACAGGAGTGGATATCGCCTCTATTGACCACTGAATCCTTTAACTACTTGAATAGAGCAAGTTGACCTGTCAGAGTCTTTGTAGAGTTGAGAGCGCTTTCAGAATAAGAGGGGAGAAGAGATGTCTGTTCTTTGTAGACACATGGCAGAGTCTTCATCCACTCATCCATTCAGTCAACATGGTTGTGCATCCATCATGTGTAAAACCCTGCCACTGGCAATGGTGATAAGCCTCTAAGACTAGGGTTCCTAGCAACTCATATATAGACACTCATATAACACATAGAGTGAACTTTAAATTCTAACAAAGAGAAAACCGCTGGGCAGGTCAGACTGTGAAAAGTGTTATACAAGAAATAAAGCATGGATGGGTTAGAGAGAGAGCTGCAGGGGCAGAACACTGCAATATTAAATGCAAGTTTAAAGACCTCATGTTG